TGCGATACCTTAATATGTAGAAATACTTTGCCTTCAACGTTATTTAAAAATTATTTTTTGAAAATAAATTAAAAGTTTGGTCTTGCGTCTGGCAGGTGTTCCTGGCAGCGGCAAATGATGATGTTTATGGTGGTCGTACCTCAGCGTGGCGCCAGCTGCCGGCAGCATATACCTCACCGCCCGCCATCTTTTTATAATTATTGCTAATTATAGTCTGATGAAATGTTCAGATAACTATTTTTTTGCTCGGAATTTGAATGAGGGAGAAGCAAGATAAAAAAAAATGCTGAATCGTAGGGAGACGCAGCTATATGGCTCGTCTTAAGTCGTGCGTACGAGGGTATTATCTCTGGCGTTCGAAAAGCCATAAGTTTTGGAGCCAACATTCGTAAGTCAATGAAAATGAGGAGTGCCGTCCACAGAACAATCCTTCGGTGCGTGTGGTGGATGGTGATGGCCGGTGCCGCGAAGGTTGACGGTTGTGGTGCAGAGTGAGGGAGAGAGCCAGAGACATCATGATGGTTCCAATCACTAAAACGAGGACGACAGAGGCTATCTTGAGATTATCTTGAGATGATTTCAGGCCTTTTTAGTGTCCCCGCGGCCCGGTCCTCGACCAGGCCTCCCAGTCATGATCGTTTCAGACATACCGACGAAGTACTACACAACGGCTATTCTTTTTCTCCTCTTCCAACTCCTCCTATTTCAACTTTAGTGCTATATAGTCGTAATGGTTTGGCCCTTTCCCCTGATAGTTCCATTCCCTTCCCTTCTCCTCCTATTTCAACTCCAATCCATCCATCCTTCCTGATTGTTGCCGCCGAAGGCGGCTAGTTTATTGTGCACCCCATACTCATCCTGTGAGTGGTAGCGCAAAAGCATTACAGAGGGCACAAACGGTCTTTATCAGACCTCATCTTAGATTATTACAAACAATTTCTTCAATCATCCTTCCTCCTTCGTTCCATCCTGTTTCATAGTTTCCACGTAATTCTTTCCTCAAGTCTTATTTCCTTCCTCTTTTTCTCTCTCTCGATTTTCTTATACTTCTCCTTCTGAGGGACCTCCTTAACCATCAACTGTGGGAACAGATCACTCAAGATTTTATCTCCGTCAGCGCCTCCTCCTCCGTGACCGCCGCTCCCTAACGTCCACCGTCAAGACTAGGCTGCCTGCGGCCCACCTGCGGGCGGCGGCGGCAGGAGGGTAAGGAAGGGCGGGAAGGAGGAAAGGAGTGGGAGAGAAGAGTGGGGAGGGAGGGGAAAGGAGGAGTGGGGAGGGAGGGGAAAGGAGGAGTGGGGAGGGAGGGGAAGGAGGAGTGGGGAGGGAGGGGAAAGGAGGAGTGGGGAGGGAGGGGAAAGGAGGAGTGGGGAGGGAGGGGAAAGGAGGAGTGGGGAGGGGAAAGGAGGAGTGGGGAGGGGAGGGGAAAGGAGGAGTGGGGAGGGAGGGGAAAGGAGGAGTGGGGAGGGAGGGGAAAGGAGGAGTGGGGAGGGAGGGGAAAGGAGGAGTGGGGAGGGAGGGGAAAGGAGGAGTGGGGAGGGAGGGGAAAGGAGGAGTGGGGAGGGGGAAAGGAGGAGTGGGGAGGGAGGGGAAAGGAGGAGTGGGGAGGGAGGGGAAAGGAGGAGTGGGGAGGGAGGGGAAAGGAGGAGTGGGGAGGGAGGGGAAAGGAGGAGTGGGGAGGGAGGGGAAAGGAGGAGTGGGGAGGGAGGGGAAAGGAGGAGTGGGGAGGGAGGGGAAAGGAGGAGTGGGGAGGGAGGGGAAAGGAGGAGTGGGGAGGGAGGGGAAAGGAGGAGTGGGGAGGGAGGGGAAAGGAGGAGTGGGGAGGGAGGGGAAAGGAGGAGTGGGGAGGGAGGGGAAAGGAGGAGTGGGGAGGGAGGGAAAAGGAGGAGTGGGGAAGGGAGGGGAAAGGAGGAGTGGGGAGGGAGGGGAAAGGAGGAGTGGGGAGGGAGGGGAAAGGAGGAGTGGGAGGGAGGGAAAGAAGGAGTGGGAGGGAAGGGAAGGGGGGTTAAGCAGGAGAAGCAGTAGTCCAGTCAGCAAAAACACGAGACAAAATCTTAATACATTTCTCTTCGTAATACTGTTTATCAATATAATCCCCGCCCTCCCTCCCACCCCTTCCTCACAAGCAGTGAACCCATTACTTCCAGACCTCTAAAGCTTGCTAACTTTTAGGTTTCTACTGACACTAAATTTAATAAAGCAACCGTTTAGACAAATAACTTAAAGCTTTAATGTACGCTTTAGTCTTGGCCCTTCATGAAATATTTCAAATATTAAGCATAATAACGCGTCTAATATTGACAATGTATAAACACGTCTCACCAAATATTACTTACAGGCAAACTGCGCCCATCACGAACACACATTTTAATGCCTGAGGGTGCCTTCTGGCCATGCCCTGTGGCTGGGGGGATTGGTGCTCTGAAGCTACGTAAACACCCTATACCCCCCTGAAGTGGCAAGGGGAGTTAGGGGACAACAATAATAAACGAATTTCACCCCAAAAACGAGTTACTAGGGTCAGCTTTACGAAGAACTGACGCAGGGTAACAGGTCTTAACTTGCCGATATATTAGAAACTTCAGCACCATTCCTAGTACACTTTAAGTCTTAAAGACAGAGATAGCAAAAGGGAAGAGGCAGAAGGTAAGAAGTGGACTTTGTAGCGGGATAGGGAGTATCCCGGGTATCCCTCAGGATACTCGGGTATCCCGGGAGGGTTGGAGAGTGAGGGAATAAAACAGGAACAGAGAGAAATAAATTTAAGAAGGGGAAGGACGAATAAACGATTGGAAATGTGAAGGGTGTACAAGGGAGTGAGTAGACAACGTAAGCAGGATAAATAATTATAATCATTATATAATATATTATATTCAGAAATGGGGTTAGTGTGAGAGGAGAGGAGGATAATTAACGATCAGAGGCTGGTCTAATCAGATAGAGGAAATGGAGTGGATGGAACAGGAGTGAGCCGAAGTGGAGGAGGCCGGAGGTGGATAGTGGGTAGGGGGAGGTGCAGGAGTGTGTTTGGTGGGGGTGGGGGGGGAGGTGGAGAGAGTGGTGGGTATGTGTGGTGGGCATGTGGTGTGGTGTGGTGTGGTGGGCATGTGGTGTGGTGTGGTCGAGGATGTGGTCGAGGATGTGGTCGAGGGTGGTGCGGTGCGGTACACTTGGGTACACTCCCCCATCCTCCAGACAACATACCCAGCTCTCGTCTCGTGCCCCACTCAACAGCTAACTTTTATTCACTTCCTCTCTGCCTCCGAAGATGCTGAGAGTTGGAACGAAACGCTTAACTTAGCATCAATCTAAATTCGTGAGATGAACTTTAGAGAACAAAATTAACATATAGAATATTCGTGCTAGAATCATTTATCAAACCCTTTGTGTCATTCAATTGCATATGTCTACAAGAACTATCTCTTTCTCTCACATACAAATAAGTGGAGTACCCAATGGTGGCTACGATAGTCTGCCTCTCCCCTCCCAGTCCCCATTCCACTCCTCTTATTCCCCTTCTCTTCCATCCCACCTTTCTTGTCCCTCCTCTCTCCCCTTCTCCTACCAGCCTATGTCTGTCCCAAACCCCAGACTGTTCTCCCTGCAAAGTTTGATGACATGAGCCCCAAGCGACCAGCCTTCAACTTTGGACAGACAGACAGACGGACATTCGCTTATAGGGATTCCTCTGAGGTACTGCCAAGGTCCCTGCGTTTCAGCCTGATGCACGCAGGGTTAAGAACATAAGAATAAAGGTAACTGCAGAAGGCTTATTACCCCATACGAGGCAGCTGCAGGGTTAAGCGCCGACTTCATCACGAGGGACAAGGGGTACAAGGTCAGCAATACTGTAGAGAGAGCAGTGACGGCGTGTCACCTGTTGTGTAGCTCAACGAGGCTCTGCCCCGTCTCTCACGACACTCTCCATTAGAATAATTACTGCATTTACGTTGAGCAAGCGGCGAGGCTTGGGAAACCGTAGAAGCTGTGGGAGGATTGTGTAGTTTATGCGACTACGGGTAAAATATGGATAGCGAGACATTTTATTTCCCCCAAGATCAGTGAATAATTAATGGTGTATATGACTGCAAGACAAAAATTTGTTTTGAAATGCTTGTTTTCAAAATATTAATTGTGTAGTCGGCGAGCAGTGTCCAAAATCGTCATGAGGATCTGAATGTGACCCCTGAAGGGGCCTGGCAGCTGAGTGGACAGCGCTTCGGATTCGTAGTCCTGAGGTTCCGGGTTCGATCCCCGGTGGAGGCGGAAACAAATGGACAGTTTCTTTCACCCTGATACCCCTGTTACCTAGCAGTAAATAGGTACCTGGGAGTTAGACAGCTGCTACGGGCTGCTTCCTGGGTGTAACAAAAAGAAGGCCTGGTCGAGGACCGGGCCGCGGGGACGCAAAGCCCCGAAATCATCAAGATAACCTTCGAAGATAATAAGAAGAGAAGATATGTGTTCATCCCGGACCCCAGACCATTCCCCCATTAAATTTAGATATGGCTAGCCCCGAGCGCCTGGCCTCCTACTTTAGGCAGACAGACATTCTCTTATAGTAAAGATATACACACACACACAAACCTCATCCCAGCTGCCTTACGTATTCCATTCTCGCGTCTCGAGTTATTGACTCTAGTTTATTACACATTCCCGGGAGAAAATTGGGTGGTTTGGTGGCGTGGTTAATGGCGAGTTGTGTTTATGATGAACCGCCGCCGAGAGCCGCCATCAGCCTGGTTATTGCCCCTTGTTGTACCTTGCTCTACTTCCTCGGCTCTGGCGGAGGCTCTAACTACCCTCCTGTGGGGATTGAGCCATTGGGCTCTAACTACCCTCCTGTTAACTATTTCTGCTACTGCCAGAGTCTATTACGTTCCTACTACTTTGTTGACGTGGTAACAACAGATAACTAACTCCCTGAGCACTCCCAAATGTTTGTTGGGTTAAGGTGTTGAATGGGTTCACTGTACGAATGACTTCACCAGGGTACTTACGACTTCTTTTAAGATCCCTGCTACATGCTGCCCTATTGTCACAAGCAGTTCAAGGTAACTGTCGTGTGATCACCCAGCCACCTAGGAGGTCTTAGTGCTCGCCGCCGTCCCTGAAGGGGGAGTGTGGCGGGAGGAGGTCTGGGTGTTGTAAGGGCTCGGGGGGGTTGCCAGACACCCTGGGGGACGGCCAGGGGACCACCAACTTATACTCTACTCGCCAATCAACGCCATATTTAGCTATTTTGTAAAGCTGCGGAAATAAAGCTTATGTCATTGTTTTCCCATACGCGAGAAAATAAAGTTAAATTGGGTGATAAACAAATACTAAAAATGCATTTTAGTGCTGTGAGCGACCTGGCAACTGGCAGTAATATCGCGTGACGTCACAGTTGCCACACCACTTGTCAACAACAATGATATAGACCGAGAGGTGTTCGCCTGCTTTCAGGGTATATACTGAGAGTTTACTTTTGTCCTGGACAATGTTCAGTGCTAAAGTATACTTGTCTGGTCAGTAAGCTATTGTCGTGGCCTTAATAACCGTCCAGAGGTTGATATAGGTTTTAAATCCAACATAAAAAATCCAATTAATGTTATTAAAAAATGCTGGAGCCTATAACTACTATGGATGGTATTATCATAGACGAACTGTTGTATACAAAACAAAAAACCAGTCATCGGGTTGTATTTTGTAGAAGGTTTTAATTTTGTAAAAGGTCTAAGAGTGCATATGACACTAAGATTGCAAGGTAGACACTCGTTCTTCAACCCGTCTTGACTAAGACGGGTTGAAGACTAAGTCCATTCGATCCAGCGGTCGACCTCAAAGACACATTCATAAATACTCAGCCCGTCCTCCAAACAAAGAGCCAAAAGTGATTCCATGCATCCGTCAAACCCCCTGTTTATGAATGAAAAACGGTTTACACACGACTCACAACTGATGACATTCGAACACTTCCGGAACAAGTGCTTCACTGACCAATTTTCTTCGAACCATAACGCTGTAAACAGCCCGTCCTCCAAATAAAGATTCAAAAGTGATTCCATGCACCCGCCAAACCCCCTGTTTATGAATGAAAAGCAGTTTACACACGACTCACAACTGCTGACGTTCGAACATATCCGGAACAAGTGCTTCACTGACGAATTTTGTTCGAATCACAACGCTATAAATGCTTCACCCATGTACTACAAATACAAATAATCGCCAACAGAAACTAAACACCTAACCTAACCTATGGCTATATATGCACAATATGCTAATATCTTATAATATTAATTTATATTTGAGAAAATTCCTGTTTTGAATGAACAGCATGTTAGAATTTATGATTGCGTCTGTGGGGTCGACCGCTGGATGTAATGGACTTGAGTCGAGGATGGGTTGCGTCATCAGTTGTGAGTCGCTCCGTTTTTCATTCATAAACAGGGAGTCTGGCGGGTGCACGGAATCACTTTTGGGTCTTTGTTTGGAGGACGGGCTGTGGTGCACACATACCTCAGTGATGAGCCCTGCCTTACCTCTGACCCTTGTTGCAACTTCTCCTTCGGCCACAACCCATGAACTGTAGGCCGGGGAAGGTGATAGGATTTTCCGTTTTCTGGCTGGTTCTTCGGGCGGGGAGACGCTGTCCGGCGCGCTATTTGCCTAGAGGTGCCGCAGACTGGCGGGTCTTGGTGCATGGGCTCCTGCCCCCTCCGGGTGTGGTGGACAGCTGGCTCCTGCTTTGACAGAGGGCACTGGAAATATGTACCTAAATGGGCAAAAGTGCCCATTTAGGTACGAGTTTACGAGAGGCCATGGTTTTGCCTTGACCATGTTTGGCTACCCGGTGTTCTCTGTGCGGGGTGGGGCCAGGTACGTGCCTCCCGAAAACGAACTCCCTGGGCTCCTCAGTCATCTGCCCACCACAGTGTTTATACAACAATTCGCCTTGGCTATAGACACATCTGGCAGGTTAGTGAGGCTCAGCCACTACCAGAATACTCAGATTGTAAACTCTGTGATAAACCTTTAATGCATTCACTAGAACACTATATTGTTGAATGTGAAACCGTAAACGATTTTAGACCTCCTGGCCTCTTGTACCACCAACTGTGTAACTATTTCATTGACTCAGGTGTTCTGGACGACATCCTAACAATTTATCCAAACTTTTGCTTGTCCATTTTAAAGAATGAAGAACACTTTTATGTATATTACTTGTAAGCTGCAACACTTATGAACCCATCCCTGCCCTTGTGTGGCAGTGCACAATAGAAAGTTATTTTTACATATTCATACATTAAAACACTGATTGTAACCATGATATATATGTGCTTCAGCCTACAGTTTAGACTTATTGTCTTGTGTAATACCCTCTGTCCTGCGTGACAGTGAATACCAGCATTATCCTCGCTTTAATAAGACTTAATTGAAATTCTCAGATTAGGCAAAATTGTAATTAAACTTTGTCAATAAAGTTGTTAATAATAATAATAAGTGTTTATACCCAGCAAGACGCGGCCCTGTCCAGCGACAGGCGAGGTTAATATTACCATACGGTTTTGTGTTTACCCTTCAAGGGTGTGTGTGTGTGTGTATGTGTGTGTGTATATGTGTGTGTGTGTGTATGTGTATGTATATGTGTGTGCGTGCGTGTGTGTGTGTGTGTGTTACTTGAGTAATGTCATTCACTGTATATTTTTGGGGGGCATTAATTATCGCGATAGTGTCAATGTTAAGAATTAATTACACACATTTCACGACCTCCGATGGCAGCTCAAGCAGGTGGTGGCAAACAATCTCATCTAAGACGTCGTATTGTTTACGGAATCGATCACTACGTTAAAATATGTGACGTGTTTGTAAAAATGAATAGCTATAATATTGACGTTTTCTATGCACCGGCCTCACACGTTAGGTGGGTTGATTGGGATCGGTCGTTACTAGTTGTTACTTTAGCAACTTCTCCTTCAACTGTCGTTGGTACTATTTAACACAGGTGGCACTCACACAAGGGGAGACACACGGGTGACACTCACACAAGGGGAGACACACGGGTGGCACTCACACAAGGGGAGACACACGGGGTGGCACTCACACAAGGGGAGACACACGGGTGGCACTCACACAAGGGGAGACACACGGGGTGGCACTCACACAAGGGGAGACACACGGGGTGGCACTCACACAAGGGGAGACACACGGGTGGCACTCACACAAGGGGAGACACACGGGTGACACTCACACAAGGGTACACACAAGGGTAGACACACAATAGGTGCTTGAACCTGTACACCAGTTGATTGACAGCTGAGAGGCGGGACCATGGAGCCGAAGCTCAACCCCCGCAAGCACAATTAAGAGAAGCACACCACAGATTCCCTACGCAAGGGCTGAAATTTCTTTGGCAAGTCCAATAGTTGATTATTGATGATCATAAGTAATCATAATGACTAAACTACAAACCAGAATGAGGAGACGACGACGTTTCACTCCGTCCTGGACCATTATCAAGTCGACTGTCAACCATTAATCATTATATTAATTATACGAATAACTTAGTTAATCACACACACATACAAATTTCTGGTTTCAACTCTTTTGACCATGTCGTAGCTGAGTCGATTAAGGCAGCGTTTGGGATGATTTCGGACGTAGGTTCGAATCCTCATCACGGCCCCTGTGGATTTGTTCACCTAAGCTAATCGTTAGAAAAAAATGAGAGATCCACTTGTCGTTTCTTATATCAAATACTTTACCATACACTTATCACATAACATTATACATTATAACATTCAACACTATATACTTTAAAGACAGACATACAGACAAGGAGTTTGTCAATAAATATTTCATATAAAATACCATTATAAATATACAATTGAACATAAACCTCACTTGGCGTATTAATACTCAAGCCACAACTAATGGGGTTATAAAATAATAAAAAGTTCAAGGCTTATTCGAATGCGTGAAACACGTTTGAGTTTATATTAATAGCAGCAGCCTGGATACCTTCACGGTGAGGAGGTGATGGTGCACGACACGCAGACACTGGGAGCCCCCCCTCGGTCACGGGGGGCAAGTGGTTTGGTTGTGTGGTTGTGTGGGTGGGTGTGTGGTTGTGTGGGTGGGGGTGTGGTTGTGTGGGTGGGTGTGTGGTTGTGTGGGTGGGTGTGTGGTTGTGTGGGTGGGGGTGTGGTTGTGTGGGTGGGTGTGTGGTTGTGTGGGTGGGGGTGTGGTTGTGTGGGTGAGGGTGTGGTTGTGTGGGTGAGGGTGTGGTTGTGTGGGTGGGGGTGTGGTTGTGTGGGTGGACTGTGGTGTGTGGTTGTGTGGGTGGGTGTGTGGTTGTGTGGGTGGACTGTGGTGTGTGGGGCTGTGGTGTGTGGTTGTGTGGGTGAGGGTGTGGTTGTGTGGGTGGGTGTGTGGTTGTGTGGGTGGGGGTGTGGTTGTGTGGGTGGGGGTGTGGTTGTGTGGGTGGGGGTGTGGTTGTGTGGGTGGGGGTGTGGTTGTGTGGGTGGGTGTGTGGTTGTGTGGGTGGGGGTGTGGTTGTGTGGGTGGGTGTGTGGTTGTGTGGGTGGGTGTGTGGTTGTGTGGGTGAGGGTGTGGTTGTGTGGGTGGGTGTGTGGTTGTGTGGGTGGGAGTATGGTTGTGTGGGTGGGGGTGTGGTTGTGTGGGTGAGGGTGTGGTTGTGTGGGTGGGAGTATGGTTGTGTGGGTGGGGGTGTGGTTGTGTGGGTGAGGGTGTGGTTGTGTGGGTGGGAGTATGGTTGTGTGGGTGAGGGTGTGGTTGTGTGGGACTGGGTGTCCGGCTGTGCCCGGGTCTCTACCCCCATCCTACCTTTTTCATTTATCTTCCCATCTCCCTCTTCCTCCCACCCTTTCTTTCTCTCCTTCCCTCTTTTCAACCTCTCCCCCCTTTATCCCAGCCACTTCGGCTGGACGATCCCCAACCATCCAAGTGGTTGGGGCACCATTCCTTCCCCCCGTCCCATCCCAAATGCTTATCCTGACCCTTTCCCAGTGCTGTATAGTCGTAATGGCTTTGCGCATTTCCCTGAGAATTCCCTCCCCCCCCCTCCCCCCTCCCTCCTATAACACCCTATATTTTTAACTCAAATCCTACGCTAATCTAACCCAAACAAGGCAAATATAAAGGTCGATGGTGGTGATGTTAGATGCCCCATCACATATACAGAGCTATATAACTCTACTTCACCTGAGAGTTACTTTACGGGCTATTCATGCCCGTGCCACCTTTTGGGTGGCTTAGTCTTCATCAATCAATCAATCGAGAGGTACAGCCATTTCACTCATACTGTATACGCTCTTCTTTAGTCACTGCTCCACACTGACTAGTTTACCGGAAAATTGAGCCATAGAAAATCTTTCCTATGGCTTAATCTTGACCGTCTTGAGCCGGCTTGATTGCTGTAAAATCGACCCAACATACTACCCCGTCTATATCCACTACGGGCTCACCATAGCCCGTGCCCCGCTACTTGCCCGTGCTACTTGCCCCGCTCCTGTGCCAGGTAAGTCCACTACGGGCTCACCATAGCCCGTGCTACCCGCTCCTGTGCCATAAGTCCACTACGGGCTCACCATAGCCCGTGCTACTTGCCCCGCTCCTGTGCCAGGTAAGTCCACTACGGCTCACCATACCATACGGGCTCACCATAGCCCGTGCTCCTGTGCCAGGTAAGTCCACTACGGGCTCACCATAGCCCGTGCTACTTGGAACTTTTGTTCTGAGTAGCTAAATCTAAAACAACAACAACATACCTGTCTATAGTGTCTTGGGCTAGCCTTGCTCCCCCATCCTCCAGGCGTCCCGCCCACCCATCCTTCCGGTGATGGCCCGCCAGTACCCACCTGGCCGGGTACCTGTGGAGGCTGCCCAACCGCGCTGACGTCCGTAGTTGACGGCAGAGACAAGTCACAGTGGAGCGGCCGGTCGGTGACAGGTGAAAACTTCGCTGTTGCAGGTGTTGATGGGTCCACCTTCTTGCAACAATGCGTCGTGCAATAAGCAACACGGAGGGAATTCTTGCACGCCAGCGACTCCATTACCTCCACGGG